CAGCTTGTTTAACGTTAAGCTTCTTCCAAAATTGTTTGTGAAGTTCTTGGAAGTCGCCGCCTCTTGTTCATGTCCTCGTCGGCTTTTTACTCTCGCTGTCGGTGTCACCCAGCCATAGCTCATCCTTGGTGTTGGTAGAGTCGTTCAGGAGCTTGAACTTCTTTGCAGAGTCGCAGCTTTCATTGCAGATCAACTCCTGGTCCATAGGCTGGATTAGCGTAGTGTTGGGAGGAGGAGAAATACACTTTTACGTTGGGGTGGCGATCCGCCAGAAGTAGGCGAGTGTCTGGTCGTTGTCAGGAGCAACAAAATATTGAATGAAACATTCTGTTGCTTTCGCAGAATTTCTGCGTCAGGAACAAAACAGTTGTCAAACCAGAAGAGGGACAGAAAGAGGACATCCACGCCTTCGTGCGGTTAGCCAGTGGACATTAAAGCTGTTCATGTCCGCCATTATTCTTTATGGCGTCGCGACTTCGCGAGGCTTTGAGATCTGATAACTTTGGTTTACAGGTACGGAAGGCATTGGTGGTAAACAGGGCGGTGATCGCGTTCCTTCTGCATCTTCGGCCCCTTACCTTCTTCGCCAGACTGGACCGCGAAAGGTCTTGGAAGGTAACTTTTTCCAGAAAAGACCAGATTCGTCCATGTTAAACACCTGGTCGTCACTGTACTGTCCTTCCTCCATAATCTCACGTAAAAACGGAGGAAAATCTCTAGCCGCCGCACGGTCAGCACTCGCTGCCTCACCACCAATGTTGATGTTGCTGACCTTGTTCCTCTTCTTAAACCTATGCAGTCAACCAGAGGAAGCATTGAAGGGTTTGGGCTCTGCAATTCCCAGTTTACGTGTCACTGCTGCGTATAGCTTACGTGCGTACTCCTGCACTGAGCGCGTGTCCACCGCCATGTTGCGTCGCGCCTGACGCACCAAATAACTCACCAGCAAAGTTTCCACTTTTGCCAGCACCCTGTTCTGGCAATACCTGATAGATGAAGCACCTGCAGACTTTGTGATTTTCATGTGGTCTTTGATCTTGGCTGCATCCTTCTTGATTGTACGAATCGTAGATTCGTTGACGCCATGCTGGCGCGCGAGATCAACTTGGCGTCTTCCTTTCACCAAATCTTGAACAATTTGGTACTTCACCTCGTAGCTTAATGAACGTCGTGTCTTCTTTGGTTTAGTGCCGCTGGGTCCAGGTGAGGAAAGGTCTCTCTCTGGGGGCGGTGGTGGTCCGGCGGAAGCCATTTTACGGAACAATGGATGCGCGTTAACCCGGGGTGGCCTTGAGGGATGAAACTGCCGCGGCTAGGTCAAGCGTCGTCTCTCCTCCCTCCCTCCCTCCCCGGGGTAGTCACGTCATAATACTTTAAGCCAATTACAGCTAGCAGCAGAGGGGGGTAGGGCTGCATGGCCAATCACAGTCCGAGACGTCATATGACGTCAGTGATAACGCAACAAAGACACACACTGCGCAACCTTACCGCGCCGCTTGCCCAAGCGGAGGGAGGAGGAGGGAGAGGCAGGCAGGCGGGCGGGCGGGTGGCGCGTGGGCAAAATCTAAAAATAGCATCCGAGCCAGACACTCACCGCGTATATGTAGAAAAAATCCGCATTAAGTGAAAGTTCAGCTTTGGCAGAGCACGCGTATATCACAGCGTTAAAAGTGAAACTTGCGTTAGTAGAGAATAAAACTGTGTGTATATATATATATATATATATATATATATATATATATATATATATATATATATATATATATATATATATATATACTATGTACAAAAAATGAATGTTCAATGAATTATTTATGGTGCATTAGGGGTACTGGCCACTTCAGATGGGCTATAAATAGCCTTGTTATCTCCCCTCCATCTCACCCTGAGCCAGAGGGACGCGTCTTGGTAAATAACATGTTTGCTTATTTTCCATTTACTTGAAATAGATTTACCGAATTATTTGTTTATTTATTTATTTATAATATACTGCCTCATTTACACAATTGCAGTTTCAATTGTTCCTCTTACTTTGACAACACAACATACATACTGTACAGTATATTATTTCTCAGTTTTGATCTTTTTTTTTAATTTTTGTATTTATTTATTTATAGTTAGTTACTTAAAATAAGGCCAATTCACTTCAAGTAATGGCATCAAATATTACCAGCTGGTGTAGTGTAAACACTAGTGACGTCACTTGAGCGTCTGTAATTAACCGTCGATAGTTTCAAGAATTAATGCACTCATTTACTGAATATTCTTTGTAAAAAAATAAAATTTAAATCAATTATTTATAGGAGATAAATATTATTATGAGTAAATATACCGATACCGGTATGCATTACTGACCACCTCCACGGCTAAAAATAGCCCAATCTCGGGTCACTTTCCCTTTCTTGTCTCCTCACTGGCAAATGGGGGGGGCGTGGGGAGGGGTGTGTGATGATAGCTGTGTTTATTACAGGGGTATAAATCTCTTTTACGGTATGTTAGACAGGTTTATAATACATTTTTATTATTTTAATATACCGGTAATCTTAATTTGAATCCAGCTTGCCAGACGTAAGTTTCAGTATAAAATAATTAGTGGTAAGACCTTGTGAGTGGCTTACGATGTTTTCATCACCACTCTTGACACACTAAACCACAATATTTAAGAGGTAAGAATTTTAAACTTGGTGGTTTAGACGACCCCCTAACTTTGGGCAGATTTTTTTAATGTTCAAATTTCGTCTTATAGGCCGTGATATACGGTACTCTTTTTATTTTTTTTTTATTTTTTTTTCATTTTTTTTTTTAGGAAAATAATTTTGTCCGGCTTAAGCAATATCTGCCTTAGCGGGGTCCGCCTTAATGAGGTTTTACTTTATTCGTTCTTAACATTACTATACTTTGATATATTATTATTGATATTTTACTTAGTTCACCTTCGTTTTAAAATTTTCTTTGGGTCATTAATGGTAATCCGAATTGGTAACGCACTGCTGAACTAATAAGAGCATATATTGCACCTGTATAATTAATTATCAATATCCTATTCAATATCAATACAATTACCACAAAAAGTATTGATACCCTTTAATTTTTCACATGATATTCATAGAAAAACTTATTTCAAGGATGAATAAAACACATTTACAGGCTTAAAATGTTTTGCTACTATTATTTAGTACTTAGTCATATTTGCCTTACATTTTATTACCAGTTGAAGTCTTTTTGGGATGGATTCTGCTAATATTTGAAAATACTCTCCATCCATCTCAAACTGCCACATGCGCTTGGTTTCCTCCTGTAGTCGATATACAGTTGATGTGTCATGTGTTGACAGCTTCCGCTTCATCTCGTGCCATACATTGTCGATGGGGTTTAAATCTGGCGAGTTCCCAGGCCACTCCAGCAATGGAATAGTCCTTTCCTGTAGCCAAGTTGTCACACTTTTTGACGTGTGACAGGGGGCACCGTCGTGCATGAAGAATGTGGACTGGTGAAGTTGACAATAATCCAATAAATGTTTTTCCAAGACATTCTTGTCGCGATCAGAGGCCATTGCCGTGTTTTGGGGGAGGAAATGGAGGGCAGCGCGACCACGTTTTCAACTGAACACTCCCCACACCATCACACTTGCAGGATGTTTCACGGTTTTAATGGTGTAACAAGGATCAAACCGGCTGGTGTTGGTGGGCCCTTTGTCTGTACGTTTCCCTGCAGTCAGGATGCAGAAAGTGCTTTCATCATATCACATCACAGAATTCCATTGTTCTTTGCTCCTGTGCTGGTATTTTCTTGCAAAAGCAAGTCGCTGACGGCACATTCGGTCCATGAGAAGTAGTTTTCGTGCAGCTTGACGGGAAATAGATGAAGTTCCTTCTGAAGGCGACGTTGAATTGTTTGTTCTGATACGTTAACAGGAGGATGGGGGTGTGCTTTCTTCAATTGTGATGCACTCATATTAGGATCTCTCATTATCTCTAGCCTCAGTAGTGAATCAGTATATTTGAAGGTCTTCCTGGTGATGATTTCCTTGGTGGAATAACGTTGGCGGGAAGGTTGCGTGTCGATCGCTTGAGTCTCTTAATTGTGGCCATTCCTCGTCCTGTTCTCCTTGAAATTTCTTTTACAGTGAGTTTTCCTCAAGCAGGGCAAGGATCCAACCATTCTCTGCTTTAGAAATGATTTTGGGAACTATAAATATAGTTTTGAAAGAAAATGTTGGGCTAATTGTGGATGTCTTAATTTGCACTCATTTGTTTGGTGAGCAAAAATTAACTTGCAAGTGGAGCACTGGCCAAATTTCTCCTATTTCTAGTCGCACGGGAAACACCGTAGAGTTGCCAGATGTTATATATTCTCGCCTTGACAAATTTGGCGGGCTGCTTTTAGCGCGGTGAAAGCATGTATAAAAACACAGCTAATTATGCAGAGGGAATCAATATTTTTTGCGGTAATGGTATTATCAGTCTAATATTCCTATCGAGTGTTACTCGCTTCCCTAGCTCTTTGTGTGGTGCCGAGATGGAACTGGTGGAAATATTTGTCAAACTATAAGTTAGCCTGTTCAACCGTTTGTGTTGGTGTGTGTAACCATCGCAGTGGGCTGTCGTCCAGAAAGGCCACCTAACCTCACACCCCGTTCGAGCAAGATGTCCTTGCTATTGTGGCTTGTGACTGTACATATTGTAGAATTGTAGTGATCAGAATAAAAATACTGTAGTTTTAAATGGATATGTTTTTGTCATCCCTTAAATTTTAATTAGCGATCTGGAAAGATTAAGACACAAATCAGGTAAACTTGATTTTTTCATGAGTGGCATCACTAATTGCAACCTGCCATCCACTAAAGGTGGGGGCAGAATTTACACCCTCCACCTTGATTGTATCACAGGTTTTGGTCCGTGACTGTATATAAACATCATCACAGGGAGGTAAAGGAACTCATTGAGGTAACTGTACAATATATACTGTATAACTTTATAAAATAATGTCATTATTTGCAGGTCGTGTCTTACCTGTTTTCACAAAAGCTTCTGAACCCAACCACGTTCTTCCTTCTGCGAGGCAATCATGAAGTGAGGGAAATCCAAAAGGCTTTTACATTCCAGAAGTAAGTGTTTTGGTGTATCATACATCCGTTATGCTTATAATTAGCATTTGTGTATTCATGTATTTACATGACAAAAAATACTGTTTTATTTACTCTTGAATTAATTTCCTTTGGTTTCTTATGTTGGTGTACAGTTATTTTCTCACCCCAACTGACCATAAAATGGTTTGATTCTTTGTGGTTCATTAAGAATGCATCTTGTTAATACTGTGGGGTCTCATGTGGTTATCCCTAAATACAGTTGGTTGAAATGTGACCATAGTTATAGATTATGCGGAAAGCCGTGGGCAGTGCTGGTAGCGGTATAGAGTTAATTTAGTGATATTTTGCTTATTTAGTCCCAAATTTAGCGATTTTAGTCATATAAGCTATTGGATATTATTTTCATAACGTATCAATACTGTAATGAATAATTTAAATATAATGGTGAGCATGGCAACGGACACAATCCCACTCACCCCCTTTTACGTTGTTTTGACTTCACAAACTTCATTCCGGAGTACAGGGATTCACAACAGTATGTTGTGCCGAAAATTTAGATGAGTCACACACTAGCTTTCTTTGCTTCAGGATATTTTGTTTCTGGAACGTGCTTCCAGAACTCAATTGTAGACAGATTTATGGATCAGCTTTAGACTCGGGTCCACCTGAAATTCCATTACAGGGGGTAGTTCCATTTCCACAGCAGATGAATCCGTAACCAGAGGATTGAGAATCGGACAACCATCATTGATCACATCAACCATGAATTGATTTCCAAGAAAGGTGAAGCAAGGCTTCAACTTCTACAAGTCATCAAACCTGGCTAGGAAACTATCAAGCAGTCCTTGTAATTTATCTTTGTATTCTTCCAGTTTGTGGTTGTTGATTTCCATATTAGGGAATGTATTTACTCTTCTTTTGAGATTGGGAAAGTGGTTGAAGTTTCTTGACAGTATGTCTCTTTAAAAAACTTAATTTTATTCTGAAAGCTAAAAATTGTCTGAGTAAGATCAGAAACAATTTTATCCTTCCTTTGGAGTGCAAAGTTGAGAGTTTGTAGATGTTTCATTATATCAGTAAGGAACATCAGAACTTGCATCCATTCATCATTTTCTAGTTGAGGAAACATCTTTCTTTTCTTCAAGAAAAGTAGTGAGGGGCTCCAAAAGATCTACACACCTATTCAAGACGTTGCTGATTGACAGCCGCCTCACAATGCACTATAAAAGAGACATCGTTGGGGTTATTGTCAAGCTCCAGTTCTTCAATAAATTTTTTAACTATCGGTGGGTTTTCCCATTTGACCAGATGAAATTGACAATATCTAGGACAGTTTTCATAACATTTTCGTACCTGAAGTATCTAGCTGCTAGATGTTCATGATGGATAATGCAGTGAACTCGAGAAACTCCGGATAGATGGGATCACTTTTCATTAGTGTAATTAGTCCTGCGTATTTCCTCACCATTGAAGGTGCAACACTGACAAGTGGAACATAAGCATTTGTTAAAGCTCTGTCAAGAACATTTTTAATGTCAACACCATGAGTTGTTTCTTTTAGTGCCACTAAGTCTAACATCTCTTCTTTTACAGTTACAGTACAGGAGAGGAAACATGACTTTACAAATACCGCCAGTTGTGGGTTGTCTTGTACTGTATGTCTGTAGATTCGCCAAGAACTAAGCTGAATGCTAGAGAATTCTTCAAATCATTTTGCAACATCAGTACTGATTTGGGAGATATTCCTTTCTGTAGTGTGGCATGAAACTGGTGTTTGTGCTGTTAGTTACTCAAGTTTTGTGTTATTTGGATCTAACACTGCAATAACTTCAGCTATATTCTTATTAACAAATTCTTCATCAGAATATGGGCATTTAGCACCAGCAATATTCCATGCAATAACAAAACTAGCTTCAGTCATTGTATCAGTTTCCTTACTGAACTTTGGCTACTATTGATAATTTTAACACAGTTAACTCTTTTTTTTCATAATTCTGATTTAGGTGGATAAGTTTGGGTGATTTGTATTGTAGTGGCAGTTCAAGTTACTGGCTTTATAGTGAGTGAGTGACACACCGCAGATACGGCACAAAGGTTTACCTCCTTTAATGGTGAATGCAAAATCTTACTCACATTCTGACTTAAAATTCCTGTTTTCATTTAAATATTTGTGTTTCTTACAATTTGATGATGTCATCTAACTTCACAAAATTTTCACAGACAGTGCTATCAAATAAATTTAACAGTACAGGTACACCAGCGATTTTCCAGGAACTGATGGTTCAGCAGCTCCTTTAGTATGGACAAAATTATGAGAGGGCACTTAACTTCCCTCCCTCCCTCCCTCCCTCCCTCCCAGCCAGGGTGAAGGTAGTTTTAGGCTTAAAGTTTTATCTTATAAAACGTCACAGACTAAACTTAGCAGAATATAACTTGCATTGTTTGAATATTTGTAAGAAAGTGACCAATTTGAGTATAAACATCACTTAGTTTGCACAAAAGAAATTTTTTTTAGTCTTTTGGTGTAGTACATTTGAGTACAATTTTTCAACTCGTTTTTTTGGTTAGATATATGTAACTTTCTTCATTTATTTTTACTGGTTTACATGCAAACACCATCCAAAATACATACAGTGAGTTTTGCTATAACTCGTGTTTTGACAACGCGAATTGGCTCTAACGCGATTTATGAATAGAGGAACGATATTTGTATAACGCGAACGCTCGTTTGCTGTAACGCGATTTTTGCTTACTATTTCTCCAATTTTGTGGTATTAACTGTGAATATGGTAAAGAAGAATATCTCCAAGAAGCGTTCTGGTGATAGCATTCCCAGTGATGATCATAAAAGAAAGGCTATAACCCTTGAAGAGAAGCTCGATGTTATCTACCTCAAAATCACCCTTCTCCCCCACCAAGTTATATTCATATTTTTTCAAGGTAAAGTGTTACATTTACTGTATGATTTCATTATTAGATATGAATGTAACATTTATTTAGACTGTGCTACCCTTTGTGTTAGGCTAATTACTAAATTTTTTTCGATTTCGAGTACAGTAGTAATCTGCACCTAACCCTATTTTCTCCATAAGCCCCGTTATTTCTATTATGCGAATTTCTATAACACGATGTTTTACAAGAACACAACTATCGCGTTATAGCAGAACTGACTGTATTGTGAAAAAAATAAAATAATTGTCCTAATGGCAAACCTGCACCTAAATGTACGAAGTTAATTACTGAAAATCTTATGTATAGTGCAAACTACAGGTATGGGATGTTTGCACTCAAATTATTCACCTTCTTACAAGAATTCCAGCAATGTAAGTTATATTCTGCCAAGTCAATTCAGTGACATTTTATAAGCGAAAAACTTAAGCTCCTCTATACGACTGATAAATACACACTAGGTAACCTTCGCCGCCGGCTGTGTCAACACCTTATCTCCCCCTCTCCCATCCTCCCAGCCAGGGTTAAGGTGGTTTTAGGCATAATGTTTTTGTCTTATAGAATATCGCTGACTAGACTTAGCAGAATATAACCTGCATTGCTTGACTCCTTGTAAGAAAAAGATTAATTTGAGTACAGTATAAACATTACATAGTTTGAACAAGGGATAAAAATTTTAGTTCTTTAGTGTCATACATTTGAGTACAAAGTGTGTACAGTAATATGTTACTCAAAATCATGTTTGTTTTTTTTCCATTTCGTTTACATTTAATATTTGTTTAATTTAAGTTTCTAGCAGTCTGTGGTGCTTTAGAGACATGGGAGGTGTATAATTAGTGGGTCAGAGGTGTATTGTATTGTTGAATTATTGTTACCTGACCTCGGTTGGTCCGGCAAAATGGATAATCCGGCAAGGCTTTGGAACCAAGCTGCCGGAAAATCAGTGGTGTACCTGCACAGTCTCTCCTCGACTTATGACATATTCGACTTACGACTACCCGGACATACGACGGCCATGGTCGTATAAAATATTTTTCACATTACATATTTTCGAGTCCCGGCGTTAGTGATCGTGCTGTGTACTGACAAAATTTTTGTTTGTAATTTCCTTTAAAATGGTTGGCAAGCATAAAAGTGAGAGTTCTCGTGGTGCTGAGAAGAACAAGAGACACCCATTTTAGAATTTTTATGTATTATTTTTGCCTTTTTGACTTACGACCAATTCGACTTATGACCTGGTCGACGGGACAGAACCCCGTCGTAAGTCGAGGAGAGACTGTATTTAAAACTAACTTATTTTTACGAAATGTAAACACAACTTGTATCCGCAGTTTACCCACTAGATCTGCACAGTTGAAGATCTTGTGTTACACTGTGTTATGTTCATGTCATGATGTGAGGCGCCTCCCTTTGCCCTACCGACTAATGAACAACACTTGATTCAAATCTAGCATTAGGCCCCTAGCCCCTGGCTAAGGTGCCGCTGGCAGTTACCCCCCACGCGGGGGTAAATGGAGAAAAATAAAAACTTACAAAAATAATTTTTAACCTTTTTAGATATAAAACAATAAGAAAGAAGTAAGAAAAACTATATATTGACCCTTTAGAAACTTCCCTGTAGCAGCAGTGGCAAGGGAGATAAGGGGACAGTGCTGTTTTGACAGGTGACGCTCATTGTCACTTTGCACTTAGCGGCCATTTTCTGCTTGCCTATGTGTAGTAATGTATATATTTTTTTATCATAATACTTATTTGCTATAAATAAATTAATTTAAAATATTTTTATGTGTATTACATTACTTTTCATAAAAAGTGCTTGGCAACACACACAGTCAGTGCTTGGCAACACACACAGTCGGTCGCCAGGCTGTCTAGCTGTCTTTGTGTTTGGTAGAGCAAGTATTGAATAAAATAATAAATCTGTAAATAAATACATTTATAACATAATCATGGCATTATTTTCCAGTAATACTACACTACATTACAACTACACTAGTTTTAGTAATATTACTTTGATACAACATGATAAAATAGACAAACAGTGAAAATGAAACAAACAAAGTAGGTAATTTGTATTCAGGAAGCCTCCCTGTGGCCGAGCGTGTGGTGTGAGAGGCAAATATTCACACTGGAACCTGATAACCCACTTTGATACAGTAGTACCCGATTTACGCGGTCAATTGAACCCACAGGGTACTGCGGAAAGTGAAAACCACGTAAAGTGAACAACAGAACATATGGGATTAATTCCAATAGAGGCTGGCTCGACACCCAAACTCCACTTTTTCCGACACAATACCTATGTTGTAGTAAAAATAACATCTAAATTTTATGATGGTATGCTCACACAATTAATATTTAAGAGAAATACAGTTGCCAGGTTAATGTCCATGCAAATAATGGAATCAATTCCCCCCCCCCCCCATTTCCCAGCTCACTAGCTCCTACCTCTCTCAGAAATGTTTGGGTGAAACCACTAGATTTTAACGTTTAGTAATAAATGATACCTCAGACTAAAGTTAGGATAATATAATTGACATTTCTGAATTCCTTGCAGGTCAGGGAATATTTTGAATGTAAACTTCATATATTTTGCACAAAAGATAAAATATTTCCTTTGTGTAAACCAAATTATTACATTAGATCTAAAATTTGTATGTCTAATGCAAAATCCATGATGTTTATATTCAAAATGATCATCATATTGTAAGAATTCCAGCAATGTAAATTATATTCTGGCCGGGTAATTTGTATGAATTTTATGAACTAAAACAAATATCTTCAGTAAATAAACAAAGAAATATTCTTCAAGGACACTATCTATCAATCAAAATACCCCACCTCCGCCCTCCCTCCGTCCCTACCCCCACACCCTCCCACCCCCCCACCTTCCCTCCCTACCAGAGAAGGATTGGGAGAAAATAGTATATTTACATTTTTGTAATAAACAATAACCCAGACTAAAGTTAGGATAATATAATTGACATTTCTGGATTCCTTGTAGGTCAGGGAATATTTTGAATGTAAACTTCATATATTTTGCACAAACGATAAAATATTTGCTTTGTGTAAACCAAATTATTACACTAGATCTAAAATTTGTATGTCTAATGCAAAATCCATGATGTTTTTATTCCAAATGATCATCATATTGTAAGAATTCCTGCAATGTAAATTACATTCTGGCCGGGTAATTTGTATGAATTTTATGAGCTAAATAAAGAAAAAAAATTATACGTACTTCACCGCATATATGAGTAGATGCACCGCGGAAAGTGAAAGTCCGGTTCTGGCAAGGTACCGCGTAAATGAGAAATCGCGGAAAGTGAAACCGTGTAAAGCGGGGTGATACTGTACATTTAAACAGTGGCAGGAAAAGGCTCGCATTCTGGAGTGTCATCCGGGGCGTGCCAGTCGGGCATTCCGGTATGTCACCTTGGGCGTAAGGGTTAAAAATAAGATTTAAAATCATCAATATTTTTTACTCACCTTGAATATTAAACTTACATTTTCATCCAGTGAACTCTCAGTTTATAAAAATAAAGCTCGACCATTTTTATTATTTATCAGTACCCTTTATTTTAATTTTGATGCAAAAAAGAATTCATCCAATATATTTTCACGAGTGGCACATTAAGTGTCTTGCGAGCCATGGCTTTGCCATCCTTTATATATAGGGAGATTTTTGTATTTTTATTAAAGAATCCAAAATAATTCTCATACAGTAGTCTGGATTTACGCAGATTTCCCTTATGCATTTGGTCATTTATGCGGCACCTGGCCAGACTGGCAATTATTAGTTACGCGGTACATTCCATCATTTACGCGGGAAGCGGCCCGAGCAGGGTGCGCACTAGGTCGCCCAGTCAACAAAACATTACCGAGTTCTTCACCCACCACAGCCAGTCCAAGTCAGTGATAGTGATAGTGAGGATATGGACTTTGAGGGGTTTGACAAAGAGGACCTGCAAGCCTCGGTGGTGGATAATGATACAATTGATAAAAGTGGTACAGGTGAGGGCCAATAATCTGCCCTCTGCCTCGGAACCTACCCCCCATCCCCGTGTGCCCAGCCATCTCTTCTACTAACGTAAATGTTAAAAAACCTAATATTATTGATATTTCTCTTAAATATTAACTGTGTGTGCATACCATCATAAAATTAAGATGTTATTTTTACTCCAACATACATATTGTGTTATTTCGTTTATGCGTTTCTCATTTTATGCGGGCCTCCATGAGTTCAATTGACCGCGTAAATCCAGAGTATACTGTACACTAAAATCTATGTCAGTGAGGAACCTAATATACAGTCATGCCCCAGTTAACGTCCAACCGAACAATGTCCGATCGCATATACGTCCGTGCCCCCCCCCCACCATAAAAAAAAACCTGTGACGCCTG